CAACCTAATAGCAATGTCCTCCAACCTAATAGCAATGGCCTCCAACCTAATAGCAACATAGTAGCAATGGCCTCCAACCTACTACAGTGATGGCCTCCAACCCAATTACTGGCGATGTCTCCAACCTACTAGCGATGGCCTCGAACCTACTAGCGATGGCCTGCAACGTACTAGCAATGGCCTCCAATCCACTAGCGATGGCCTCCAACTTACTGGCGATGGCCTCCAACCTACTAGCGTTGGCCTCCAACCGTTAGTAGCGATGGCCTCCAACCTACTAGCGATGGCCTCCAACATTATGTTGCTTGACATTTGCAGGACCATGCTTTTCTCGGCAACCTTGAATGCATCAGTGGAAGACTTGGCTGCTCTTGCTCTTGTCAGGCACCCAGGTTTTGAGTGCCAAGATGTCTTGGGTTTTGATCGCAACTTGGAGCGTCCAGATGCCATCCTGAGTACATTTGTAGGTTAAGCCGGAGAGAATCCATGCGAGTCCGGTGAACGCGGTAGCCCAGACTCTGGAACAGGCCCCTTATATAATTTTTCAGACATCATCTTGAGCCTACTTGGTTTGAGGTAAAGCAAACCCTGCCGGGTTTCTTGCTACTTCTTTTCGTTCTATTTTCTTTTGTTTTGTCCTCTGTTGGCAATTTATGGCAAAAAGCTGTGCTGGCCTGTGACCAACACCAACTATTTCCGAGTCCGACTGAGCCGACAGGAGTTTGTCAAAGCACCGAACCCAGAGCTTCGAGAGGCAGCTTTGCTAAGTGGCTTTGACTGCAACCGTGACGATTTGTGCTCACAAAAAAAGGTCATATATGCTCAGAGTGCAGATGTTTTCATCTTTATACTACAATGTCACTTCAATATGTTCTTTGACAAGGCCACAAGCCCTATCAGGCCTTCAATTGTTTTGCTCAAGTGCCTTCTAAATCAACGTATTGCGATCGTGGATGGCTCGAGCTGTACACTGGTGACTGGACATTGACAGGTTTTGGGAATGTTCCTCAAAGTTGCTGAAGTCATGCCTGAATCAGACCGAGCAATTGACAGCGCTGTTAGTATTCTGTGTGGTGAACAAAGGGACTAAGTAAAGGGACCTCCATCATTTTCTCCGCAGTATCTCACCTACTGGTCCGTTTTCCTGAAAGTTTTGAGGTCTCCTTGAGCCTTGAGCCAACCAAAATTACATTTTTGAGCCTACAGAAACTTGAGGCCTTGCATCGCGAAATTACAACTCCAGGGTCATCATCTTTTGCTCCACAAAAGAGGCACGACCTTGACAACACATCCTTCTTCGTATTTGGAGTTCGTTCCTCGTCTGGCAGGTCACCCATCGCTTGGCCATCATCTTTGGCCTTTCCGGTCTCAAGTTTGCCGAAATTCATGGGAACCTCTCACAGGAGCAGAGCATTGAGCACCAAAGAAGCGGCGTCGGTGGAGATGTCCGACATGTTGAAAGCAAACTCCTCAGTGCCCAGGGCGAGCGAGCAACTTCGCTGGAGCGATTCCAAAATGGCCAGGCCTTCGGTTTAGCAGTTTGGTTCCGAACATCCAATTTCGTCTCCAGATAGGATAAATTTCATTGAACTTCCGGCACATTCTTTCTGATCTTGACGATTTCTTCCGTTGTGCTACTAGTTCCAAGAAGACAGTCTTTGTCACTTTTCGGCACGAGAGGCGTTCTCTCTGACCTGAGAGGCAGACTTTCTCCTGGCGACAGATATCGCATCGCGAGGCTTGGACCTGCCGGGAGCCAAGTTGACCTGTGGGGACTGGGGATCTGATCTATAATGATTGAATATGTATATATATATATATATATGGTACTCCCCCCCAAAGATCTACCTTTTATATGATTTGATATGTGTTTGTAACTTAGTTTGTTTGAGGCCTACTATATCTCTCTCTCTATCTATATATATATATATTTGTGTCATGTCTTATTGCATGCTGACTGCACGTTGGTTTCAGGAAAGTACTACAAAGGCACTTGTACGCGTACAGTGCTCTAACCAAGAAACCAAGAACCCAGATTGTGTGGTTGATGAAAAGGGGCGCCACTCCCTTGCAAACACAATCCCAAAACCGGTGCAACCCAAAAAGGAACCAGGCGCAGCAATGTGCAAATTTGGTGCAACCACGAAAGAAAGCAAAAGCGTCAAGCTGTTTTGCTCGCGAGATCATCGATGTCTTGAGATCGAAAATGCAGTACAAAAAGATGCGGCATACACGGAAAGCGAATGCACTCAAACAATCACGTCGGAGGGAACTTGTGTTTCCGTGTTGCCTGCATGTGCATTTTGCGCCTTTCACGCTGGGCTTTGCGAACTGACGCTCGCTTCTGTTCTTCGAGCTGGCTGGTCCTCTGCCGTTTCCACAAGACAGAGGGAGTTGGTTTTCCTGAACTCAAGCAGGAGATCCCGAGCCATCTCCTTCGTGAGGGGGTCTGCCATCTGCTTCCAGGTCGGAACCCACCGTAGGCGGATGACTTGATCTTCCACCAAGCGTTTCACCATCAGCATGTCCAGCGCCGTCTGCTTCTCGCTGGCGATGCTTCCCGTTTTGTTGACATGGTCGTTGAGACCCTTAGCATCCGTGATGATCACTCCACCCGTGGTCAGCTGACCCCCCCATTGAAGGGTGGCCTCAGAGCTGGGGTCGCCCTGTGCCGGTGTGATTTGCGTGGCAGGCGCAGCGCTTGGTGCTCTCCACGAAGTACGGCCTGGCGTCGACCTGGCGTCGCTGGGTCTCCGCCGCTGCGCCGCTGTGAAGCGGAGCGCAGGCTTGGTGTTTTGCACGGGGGCGGATGTACGCCCTGGCGTCGCGCTGTGCCGCTGTGATTTGGGTGGCAGGCGCAGCGCCTGCTCTCCAGGGGGTCGGATGTACGCCCTGCGTCGCTGGTCTCCGCGGCGTGATTTGCGTGGCAGGCGCAGGACTTGGCGCTCTCGCAGGGGTCGGATGCACTGTGCTGTATCCGTTCGGCCTTCCTCTTCCTGCTCTTCCCCTTCCCCCCGCCCGTCCACCAACCACCAACCACCAACCAACCACCAACCACCAAGTGTCCGCTCCTGTGTTTGGTGAAGTTGTTAACGTGTGGGGTTATCCGGTCCTATAATTTATATAATTGTTTTTCCCGAATGTAGCGAAGGGTTCTCGTTTAACTCTGGGGTCCATGGCGCTGACATTGGGCGAAGCTTTTGGAGAGGGTTTTGGATGGAAGGTTGACGTGTCAGATTCTGGTGAAATAGCGGTCAAACGTGTGGAAACGTGAGAGGATGAAGTATGGAGGATGGATTCACTGCGCAGGTGCAGCATTTTGTGAGTTTCGCAGTTTTCTTCGCAGTTGGATAGGGATTGGCGTTTGGAGGGTGGTTTGCTTCGGGTGTTGGATGTGGCTGTGACAGTGGGATTTGCGTTTCAGGGTGTTGCTTCGAAGCTGTGCTTTCGTGACACGTCTCAGCTAAAATGAGGGGCGAGTGCTCAGAACGTGTCGAAATCACTCCAACGTGTGGCGTGGTGCAAATTTCGCTGAAGCTACGAAAATGATATTGGCACTTTTCGTGGCAGGCGCAGTACTTTGTGTGGTCTTTGAGGTGTGGAAGCACAATTTTTGGCAGGGAATCGTAAGGCTTCGAGGTGTGGTAGAGGTCATGCGCATTTCGTGGCAGGCGCGGTGCTTTGTGCATGTTGGAGGTGGTTGCGAGTTGTGGTGGAGGTGAATGTCGATGTAACATTGGGATTGGCGCGTGGGCCGGTGGAGGGTGGAACTGCGTGTGTGCTCTGATGGGGCTTCCCGCTTGACTTTTGGAGGAAGTCTCGTACAAATTGCTTGTTCTGGAGACTTCGACATGACTTTTAGAGGAAGTCTCGTGCGAAGTGCTCGTTTTGGAGACTTGACGGATGAATTTTGGAGGAAGTCTCGTACGAAACGCTGGTTGCAGACGTGACGGTTGACTTTTGACCCACAGGAGTGTCCCACAGAACCCTACAAGACAACAACAGTGTCCGACAAGAGTGTCCTACAAGAGTGCCCCGCAAGAGTGTCCCACAAGAATATCCCACCTACAAGAGTGTTTCGCAAGAGTGCCCCGCAAGAGGGTCCCAAAAGAGTTCCCTACAAGAGTGCCCCACAAGAGTGTCGGACAAGAGTGTCCCACAAGACGGTGTCCCACAAGACTTTCCTACAGGAGTGTCCCACGCGAGTGAGTGTCGTACAAGAGTGCCCCACAAGGGTGTCCGACAAGAGTGTCCCACAAGTGACCTGTCCCGCAAGAGTGCACCACAAGAGTGTCCCGCAAGAGTATCCCGCAGAAGTGGCAACTTGTAGCAGCGCATCCTACAAGAGCGTCTTGCAAGAGTGTCCCACAGAGTGGCGAAAGCGTCGCGTGAGAGCGTTTAAGAGCGTTCTAAAAGAGTGTTTCCTACAAGAGTGTAAGAGTGTCGGAAAATGTTTGGCCGTTTGTTTGGGAGTACATGTTTGCATTCGGGTTCGTGGGTTCGTGTCCGTTTTGTTGTTTTCTGGTCTTAGGATTGGGCATCGTGTCCAGGTCATGCATGTTGCAGGCGGATGGTTCTCGGATCACTGTTTATGTAATTTGTGCCCGCAGGTGCCCCCTAATCAGCGAGCACTATATATATATATATATCTGTCTATGTGTGGTACCCCTCAGACAAAAAAGTCCTTGAATTGAAAAGTGCACACATCGAAAAGGTATTTTTTTCTGGGGGGTCCCACATATCTGTATCTATATCTATACACACATACATATATATATATATTTATGTATGCGGCTGCGCATACCCGGCCATGCAGTTTCAAATAGTTTTCAAGGGATCCTTGTGCCATGGGCCCTGGGAGTATGAGGCCCAGCATCAAGACGGTGATCAACTTCCAACTGCCAGTGGATGCTGCGGGCTGAGGGTGGACCGAGGGTGGAGAAAGCGGAGATACAGCATGATTATTCACAAACGACAAGGACAACAGATCAACATAAAAGTCAACTTTTTTGCTTGCGTTTGATCAAAGTAAAAATGTTAGAGGGCTGAAAGGTGTACGGTGACAGTGTACCGCAGATGGGTGGATTTGGCCTTTCGGTGCTTGCTGATTCCCCGAAAAAAACCACGACGGAGGTAGTTCCCACACCTAGTGCATCTCACAGGGTCTATAGAGTTTTCTGTGCATAACCACCTCAGATGTGAAGATTGCATGTGCACCTCAGTTACCAAGGTCACTCGCTATATCCACCGTGTCGGCCGCACTGTTATCCCGGCCTCGATTAGTGTCTTGTTTTTGATTGTTTTTGGCAAACATGTTTTGGCACTATGGGATTTGAGTATGTGTTCCCAGCCGACTTTTGGCACAGCAAGGGCAATTGCAGTCAAACCTTGCAAGTAAGGAAGGCCGCAAGTGACATTCACCACGATACGATGCCACTGAAAGCACTTGCAACAGTCAACGTGAATCAACCTCTTTCACATCTTTCCAGATTCCGCGCAGTTGCTTGCTTTCCAAACCAGCCATGGGTCGCACGCTTTGCTTACTTTTGCATGCAAATGGTCCAGTGCCTAGACAATTTAAGCTGATGTGGGGCAGATTGAGAGAATGGGTGCTTTGGTCACACTTCTGGATACGTCGGGGAACAGAGAATTATGAATTGGCATTTGCAACAGAAATCGATGCCATTCCATTCTATCCTTTCCCAAGGCCTTTGCAAGAATGTTTGGCGTCCATTTGCTGCAAGTCTGGCGCGGCAGCTGAAGGTCGATCTCAAACTGCAGAGCAATCGGCGTCAAGAGGCCCCCGCGTTCGCGTTCGTGCTGAAGGGTCGGACCGTTGCATTCTTGCAGGTTCTTTTTTGATGTTTTTTTGAATGTACTGTACTTCAATAGCTTTCGAATCAGCAAAAGCCTTCAGCGGGCGGGGCGGGCAGCTTAAAGCGTGTACCGTGTACCATAGCAAGCAAACATGGAGAAATCACCGGACTTTCAAAAACTGCAGATGCAAGGACGCTACTAGGGGCGCTCCTGGCCAAACTACTAGTAACAAGAAGCTACTAGTAGCTCCGGGCGCTACGAACGGAGCAAAGGGCATTACTAGTAGGAGCAAGAAGCTAATGTAGACCTGTGATTAATAAACCCCCCTAGAATAATGTCTTGTTTTTTCCTGCACTGATTAATAAAGGCCCCCAGAATAATGTCTTCTTTTTTGGCAGGGATAGTTGTAGTGGAATATGTTTTATTGTTATAGTTTACTTTTTCCCTTTTGAGTTTGCTGGGATTTCAAGCTTAAACCATATTTTGCTTTAAAAAAACTTGTATTCATTCCCTTTCTTGTCCTTTTGATTTGCTTTACTTACCTAAGCTCTTTAGTCTTTAAGCTTTCCAAACGTTTCCAAAAGCCAGTGCACACTTTCTTTAGCAAGCAGCTTTCTGACATTATTTAGGGGGGGCCCTAGAATAATGTCTAGAGATTTCAAGCTTAAAACATATTTTGCTTTAAATAAACTTGTATTCATTCCCTTTCTTTTCCTTTTGATTTGCTTTACTTACCTAAGCTCTTTAGTCTTTAAGCTTTCCAAAAGTTTCCAAAAGTCAGTGCACACTTTCTTTACAACATCCCTTATTCAAAAATATTGAAAAACAAAAAACTCATTCAAGCAAACGGGGCAGTCCAGCAAGCAGCTTTCTGACGTTA